TTTAATAAACCTGAACTAGACCAGCTAGTGCTACAGGGTTGACTCTGTGTCAAGTATGTAGATATTAGTATACATGTGTATTTAATAAACCTGAAGAAACTGAAGCCTGACCAGACACCACTGCTAACTCTTCAACTGCTATTTGTCTTTCTGATAGATGCTTCTCAAAGCAAAGAGATTTCCTTTCCCCCGAGTAAGGAGCCAGCCTTTGTCACTGTCCCTGGGAAGGGCTTTGCAGACCCATTCTCCATCACACCAGGGACATGGATCACTTGCATCCAGGTGGAAGGAGTCCTCCTGGTAAGCTAGAGTTCTGAGTGCCCAGGTCTGTGGGATGTCCTGTTGCTGAGATAGCCTTGTCCAATGCTGTGACCCACAGGAAGTCATAAAGCTCACATGCGTTTCCCTTTTACTGCAAAGGAAACTATGTGACCTTTGCCCTTAGAGGACATAATGACAGAGAAACTTACTTAAAATGATGTTTTACATCCTTCCAGTCAACTACTCTTGGACAAAAATAATCTATATGCAAACAAACTATATGTATGTAAATGGACTATAATAAAATTATTGGAGCAAACACAAAGCCCTTATAAACACATGACCCCTCACCTTTCACATTTTGTTTGATATTTTTGTTATGAAGCAGAAAGGCACCTAAAGATGCACACACACACACACACACACCCCCAACCATGCAGAATAATCAGGAGAATCTAACTAATGAGGAGGATAAATAGCAGTGAGATTTGGGGGTGTGGGAGGGACGGGAGGGCTCCGGAGCCAGGGGGGCCCCAGCACTTCTTACCCTCACCCTCTCAAGAGTCACACAGCTGATCCGACAAAGGGCTTCTCCGAGGCAGCCCTCCTTGTCCACACCCCAGGCTTGTTATAACTTGTGACAAGGTTGTAGATGAAGTCTTCGGCACACATTTGATGTCAGGTGCTTTACACAGGAAACATAAAGCGGGTCCTTCCGGCACATTGGGAAGTCTTAAGCAGGTCACAGCTCTGAGCCTGCCTCCATCACTTCTCCGGAATGACAAGGATAGAAGTTATCCTTGTGTGTCTTTTCCAAATGCAAACAATGGGAAGTTACACAACATCCTTTGGGCCTTGCTTTTCTTGTGCCTTCTTGGCAAAGAAACTTCATGTCTAAAGAAGTAAGTTCAAAGGATACTTCGCAGATGTTAGAAGTGAGGAAGAGGAAAACATCTCTGATGCCAATACGGGTATGAAGCTGGGTGGATGGGAAGAAGGTATGATTATAACTTACCACCTAGATGGGAGAAGCTGAATGACATTATGCTGATTCTGTTCTCACTGAGCACTTGCTATTCATGTTTACTGGTGTTTGGAACTATAGCAGTTATGGGCCCAGCTCAGGGAATGGCTTCTAGAACAGTTAAACCCACCCAGCTAGGAAGGCCACTGAGTCCCCTGCGTCACAATCTGCTTTTTCCCCTGCTAAACATTTCTTCCCGAGGAAAGGAAGTGGCTTATGGGCCACATGTGTATCTCCCTCTAGAGGCAGATTCTGCCTCCTCTCCTCTGCGCACGTGCAGTGGGGCCACAGATCCTGAGATCCTGGAACACTGGCCGAGCCAGCCACGTCTGAGAGCCCGGAACACTGCTTTCCTGAAAGCCTAGCTGCATTTACTGCAGGCTTCATTTGGCATGGTTGGTGGAATAGTCATGCATTCATTTGTGAGGAAAGACGGTGAGGCCGTTCCACCGAGACACTGACATCACAAAACCTCGATTTTCCCACTAGGAGCAGGGTTGGAGCTGAAAACCACATCAGTGGTCAACAGTTGGTGCTCTGTAGTGATGAGGGCAGCCAGCGTCTCAGCAGGCCATCTTTTTTTTCTTTTTCTTTTTTAATGATTTATTTATTTTTATTTCACGTACATTGGTTTACCTGTGTGAGGTATTGGATCCCTTGGAACTGGAGTTACAGACAGTTGTGAGTCACCACGTGGGTGCTGAGAATTGAACCAGGGTCCTCTGGAAGAGCAGCCAGTGCTCCTAACCACTGAGCCATCTCTCCAGCCCCTCAGCAGAGAATCTCAATGATGTGGTTCAGCTCCTTTGATCATTGTGTGTGTGTGTGTGTGGGGGGATTTATAAGAAGATACAGTAACATTTCCTGTGGATCTAGAAATTGCAAATGTACACACCGTGGCCCTGACCTCCAGTGTGAAGAACAGGTGGGGAGTGGCATTGTGGGTTCTGGGGGGTCAGGGTGAGGAACAAAAAAGCTGATCTGAAGTCAAGATTCACCAGGGACTTCCTGGGGCATTATTCACTTAGCAGACACATTGGTCATTTTATTACCAGGGAGGCCTGCTAGATGAGGACTAACACTCTCTGTGGTCTTCCTTTCTAGGACTACCTGGTGCTGCTTCCCCGGGACTACTATGAAGCACTCGCCCTGCAAGTGCCAGTCACAGAACCGTGTGCCCAGACAGGAACTCCCCAGGACAAGTTAGTAAGGGGGTGGGGGGTGGCGGGGCAGCCTCAATGCCGCTAGACTTCTCCGGATGAGCCTGGAATACAAAGGCTCATGATGGTGGGCCTCACAGTCCCAATGGTTACAGGACAGCCCAACTGGTAATTTCATTGTGAAGTGTTTGTTCTGAGCCTTGCTTGAGCAAGAATCTCAAAGCACATTGCACGGCACAGCTGGGTTAGGAGTGGCTACCGCCCTGTGGGTGTGGAATGCCACAGCACACCTGCAAGGTCATTCAGAGTCTTTCATCTGGCGAGGGGAGAGCGTAACATGAGGGCAGGGTCTTGGAGCTGTCTCTTCCCGTCCGGTGTGGAAAACCTACTGCTCGGTGCCTCTGATGTCCACTTACTAAGACTTTGCTGAAGAAATGATGCAAGGATGCCTCGGTGACATGCGTCACGGAGTCCCTGAGTGCTCTGTAGTATTCTGTATCATGTTGTTCGTGTGGTAACGATTGTGTTCTGTTGTCGTTAAAGCTGTCTGCTTTACCAGCATCTACCAGTGACCCGGTTCTCCTGTACCCTGGCTTGTGAGGCCACGCACTTCCTGCTTGATGGGGAGCTGAGACCCGCGGCGGTGAGGCAGCCCACTCCCGCACACCCAGCCATGGTGGACCTCAGTGGGAGAGAGGTGGGGCAGCCTTTCTCTGGGCTCCATTTGTGTCTGCTGAATGCATTAGCCAGGGCTGCTTCTCCAGTCCCAGAAGGGTTTCTCAGAGGTGTGGATCCCCAGGTGCTGAGTGCTCTGGTCTGAACTGGGACTGCAGTGTCCTCCACGTGAGCTGTGCTGAGGTTTTCTTTAAGCACATTTTAGATGTAGCAACAACCGCCATAGCCGATCACAGGTCATTTTGTTTACCTGCCCCACCTGACTCACAGCAAAGTCTTCCTTAAAAAAGAATGACGAGACTCGGTCTTACAGGCCTCCAGTAGTTTACCTTAAAAGGACATAGCAGGTCCTCGCTGCCCAACCCTGCAGGCTAACAATTTGTAAGAGCTGAATTGGTAGGGCTTGGAATCTGGAACTGTTCCACCCAAGGCTTCTGCCTCATGGCTGGGAGGACACGTTAGTACATGCTGGGCATTGTGTCTCCCCCTGGAGTTCTCAGAGCCGCACGGGCAAACCTAAGCGTGTACTGGTAACAGATCGCACAGTGCACCAACAGTGAGAACACACATCGCAGCACCCCAAAATGAAGATGCTGAACTACAGTCTCCTCCCCTCTGTTCTCACTCTTTTGTTAATACTGTCTATATTCAACTTCTGAGAAAACACTTCTTTTGGGGTAAAGTGTATACACTGAGGAATGGAGGGAGTTCTTCGGTTGGCTCAGGCATCAAATGTGCACACACGCTTTAAATAGTTCCCCTTCTAGAAATCTTACAGAAACACCAGCACAACGATGTGTGTGTACACATGTATGTGTGTGCTTATATATGTGATATAACATTGGATGTTATCTCATCAACAGGATTTTCATGTGTGTGTGTGCAGGTGTTATGTGTGTGTAAACATGTTTGTAGGCACATGTGTGGGTGTGCATACATGTGGAAGCCCAAAATTGATGCCAAAATTCTCCACAGGTCACTTTCCCACCTCCTTCAAGGAGACAGGGTCTCTCAATCAAACCTAGGGCGCGCCTGTCTGGTTATCCTTGCTGGCCACCTGCTCTGGTTTCTCCTGTGTATACACTCCTCAATGTATACACTTTACCCCAAAAAAAGTGTTTCCTCAGAAGTTGAATATAGACAATATTAACAAAAGAGTGAAAACAGAGGGGAGGAGTCTGTAGTTCAGCATCTTCATTTTGGGGTGCTGCGATGTGTGTTCTCACTGTTGGTGTACTGTGCTGGAATTATAGGCAGCCCACCACAACCACCTGATGAGTGTGGGGTCTGGGGATCCCCACTCCAGCCTCCACACTTGTGAAACTGGTGCTTTACCCAGCAACTTCTCTCTAGCTTAAAATTTTCATTTATATTGTAGGATGCCAGGCAGCCATTAGGAAAATAAACCATGTATGAATATAATGATAAAGGCACATGAAATGCGAGGGCTGGATTGGTGGCTCAGTTGGTAAAGTGCTTGCCTTGAAAGCATGAGGACCTGAGTTCATTCCTCCAGTACCCATGTGAAAGAAATGGAATGTGGTGCCACATGCTTGTAAAATCAATGCTGAGTAGGTACAGATGGGCGGATTGTTGGGGCTCACCAGCCAGCCTAGCCCACTCAGTGAATTCCTGGCAAGTAAGAAATCTCTCTCAAAAACAAACGAACAAAACCAAGATGGATAACCTTTGAGGAATGATCCAAGGTTAACCTCCAGCCTCCATTCTTATGTGATATGGGTGCATCTTTACACACACCAATAAGTGTGAAAACAAATCAAACAACACACCACGGAACTCTGTTGGGCAAAAGGAACAAATCATGACAAAAAACCACCACTGATTAGAACCACCAATGTTTCCAAAGAATTGTTGTATGTCACATAGATTTAAACACTCTCTGTGTATTCATTTAACCTCAGCTGTGTTGAGAGGGCACTGGTGCTATCCCCATTTCATGGAGGGCACTGGTGCTATCCCCATTTC